TGAGTGAAATATTCAAACTAATTGCAAGCTAGGTCAGTACAAAAGCTAGGGGAAGAGGAGTTATTTTACCAATTAATTTCTTTCGTCCCACTGTGAATACGAAATCTTTCAAGGAACAATATTTCAATATCCTCATGTTTTGAGGAGAAAATATTGCTGAGAAATTTGTAGATTTTTAATTTTCATGAAGAGAGAGGGGTGGAAATAAGTATGCAAAGAAATTAATTTTTTCATATAGTACACCATCCTTTTACCTAATAAAATTTGTAAATTGCAATTAAATTTTCCAACAAAGTACTTCATTATGCATTTCCATTCTTTCAATGGATTCCATCTTTCAATGAGATGAGTACAAGCAGCTGTATATAGAGCGATCACATTGAATTGTTTATCATTGAAAGGAATAAATATTTACAAAGACTATTTTGCCAATAAATGTTAACAGAGCAACATTCTATTAAATTCATTCCTCAATAATTTAGACCCTAGAAAAGATCAAAGAAGATTGTCTGATTCTACTAACCGCTGATCTAAACTATTACAAACTTGATTAGAAATCACACTTCCTGCGCTGTCTACAAGACAGATATAAAAGGGAATTATTTTTAAACAAAAAGCTTCATTTTCAGCTTATAAAAATGCAATGCTATCAATTTTGAAGGTCTTCATTGTATGCTTCTTCCAGTAGTATGTAAACTTATTTCAGAAATGTAATTATACTGTTTCAGAAAAGATATCTTTCAAATATTAACTGTACTATCCATTTTCATAAATGAATAATAGCACACATGAAAGTAGACTGCAAGTCATTTTATCTTTAAATCAAGGTAAATTTTTCATATTATTTGATTACTTTTCTTTGATTCAATATTTTTGATTGGAGGATCAAGACTTCTCTGGTGTGTGTTTGTTTAAGAAGACAGAACCTATCTTCTCTGTTGACATACCATCTATCATTGTTAGGGCAATCCATCAATAACTGTTCAAAACTCCGAAAAAGACAAAGAAATGGACCCCGAGAGTCCTCCATACTGCCTGATTATATTTTATAGTGAAGAGTTTTTAATCTTACAAGCTGATTAAACCTCTATTGATTTCTGCAGCAATGACAGCCCTACACCTTTACAACCATCAACACATGTTTATTCAAAGATAAATGGACCAAACTTTTTCACTTTTCCACTTGAAGTTAATCCAAATTTTCAAACAAAATTATATGGAGGTTCCTAAATTTCCCGGACTTGATCTGGTTTTGTCTGCTTGGGTTTGTAAACATGCCACTTGACAGTGAAAAACGCTGCTGTTGCTTCCACGTTTCCACGGAATGCCGACAGTCGTGTGGAAGAAATATTTGCACTCTCGTGAAAAATGAAGTTGCAAATGCACATTAACAGGAAAACATGACCAAATGCGCCACCTTAAACATTACCCTACTGCTACATTAATGCATGTTTTGTCCTTTTTCGGGGGTCTCTCAACACCATAACAATAAAATTGTAAGCTTTAAGGCTGTATCTTTGATGTCACATTTCTGAGAAACCATAAAAATTTGAGGTTACAAGTCTTTGTTGAAAATAATGATGTGTTTGTGTACTTGACAAGATCCTTTTTGAACCACTGTGACTTTCATCATGGTTTAGTTTAAAAAGTGGACAGACAGATGAACCAATATCAATACCCCTTCCCCCTTATTCTGAAGACAAAACAAAGTACATACAACATGTACAAGAGGCAAATTTTTTCCACATTTTCACCCGTATGATTTTACCTATATGTCCCAACTACTAGTATGAAGTTATTAAAGACAAATTGTATCAAGGTTACCAAAATATCCAGCAATTGAAATTTCTTAACTTTTCTCAAATCTACTTCACTTGGGCCAATACTAATAGAGTTTTGTCTAAAAATTTTGAATAAAGACTACAAATTCCGTGATTTATTTGCCTATGTGAAATTCATTTGTCTCTGTGCACACTGCTCTCTGACCCTAGGAGTTCCCAGAATTCCAAAGGCCCCAGCGATAAACCTGCTCTTCATATATAGGAGAGCTCCTTCAGATGGAGAGCCCCAAATATCTGGGTAGCGTGTTCCATGCCAGTACTTTAAGACTTGGACAAGTGGACAGAAAAATCTACCCAGAATTCCTTGTTTCTGATCTGTCGCCACGCTCCCATCACTGTGAGATTAAAACTTGTCATTAGAAGTACCAGCGATCAAAGGGGGGACTCAGTGTGTTTTGAACTGAGATTTTGGCTGTCTTTTTTCTCTGGCATAGACCTGTTATCAATGGATGTGTCATTACTAATCAATTTGAAGTCCCTCTATGCAGTCCCATTACCTTATCTTTTTTCCCTGGTCTCATGTACTATAATACTCACTCGATCACCATATTACACTCTATCTCAAGTGAACACCTCTAGAGGAAAGAAATGTTGGTAGTTAAAGAAAGGTCTTGTCACAAGGAATACACATGTGAAATATGAAAGCTCTAGCACCAATCACTCAAAAGTTAAGTGTAAGGTTAATTTTTTTGCTAACAAACAAATAAACAGATAAACAGACAAACTGACAGATGGATGGACAGACCAAAAACCATACATGTCCCTGAATCTTCAATTAAGGGGACATAAAACACAAATCTCTTGAACACACATTTTACTTGTAGATTTAGCCTGCTACTATCTGAACATTTAGCAAACTTTTTAACTTACACATTCTCTTAAACGTTAAAACTCTTGTGAGCACAGTTAACAAAGACCCTGCGTAATAGTATAATGTACTCTTAAGTATTTACTTATGGTAGGACAAAAAAACATAGAATTTCACACATGCACTGATGATTGATTTTAAAAAATGAACACTGTTCATTAACCACCAAAACCCAGACAAGAAATAAACAAAACCAGCAAAACTGTCAACACACGGAAAATTAGGAAAACATCTTCAAAGTAATAAAAGCATTGAAATCAAGCACTTGAAAGAGCAGCAGGAAGAGAACATGATTCTAATGACTGTCAACTGATCGAACACACCTGGCAGTCAGAAAAAACCCGGCCTCATGGGAAAGCATTCAAAGATTCCAAGACAATATTAAGGATTCAATCGATTGCAAAAAGCTTAAGAATTTATTTCAGTCACAGGTCGAAACTCAACTGAAAGAAAATCCATCTATCATGCACTTGAGATCTGACAAAAATTTGCTGGCTGTCAAAAAGTTAGGTGCAGACAATTCAAAATGGCCAGGAAAACAGATCCTATCCCTATTTTTCAGCCAAACAATAAAATGTGAAATCTCATTAAATTAATCAAAATATGAAAGAAATGCAAGGGATTAGCGAAAAATAATTCATAAACTAGGATTGCAATAAGACCTGGGTGTTTATCAGGTGTAAATTAATACACCTCTGTCAAAAGAAAATGGCTAAGTGTACTTTAAATGTCAATAATTTGAGACTAAGGAATCGGATTCCCCCTTATATAATTGTATCAACATTATGCCTCTTTCATTAATTTTCTTCTCTAGAAATGTCATTTATGAATTTTCTTTTATAAAGATTAACTACATTATGAATTTGATAATGATTAATTTTTTTCAAAATGAGCCTCTTAATTGTCCCCTATTTACAGTTTGGGGAGGAAATGGGTGCAAAAATTCCTCTCTTATCATGACTTTTCCAAAATAATACCAAATGAAAAGGAAATTCAAAAGTACCTGATCTTACGAGAAAATATGACAAATGTCAAAACGCCTGTAGATAATCGGTACTATGATGGATAACCAACTCTATACCAACTAATCATTGACTGCTACAAATTCCATCTCCACAAATAAATATCTAAAAACTTCAGTCATACCTCATACTAATCAATATGTGACTATTTCATGGATTTTTATATCCAGAGATTTTCTACATTCAATTATCATTTCCCACCTATCATAATATTCTGTTCCGTTCTTCTTAACATGTCAATAATTAATGTCGTCAAAATTACAGTCATAAAACCAAGGAGAATGCAAAGCAGTAAATAATTGAAGAGATTTTTTTTTCCCTCAACACAATTGCTAGAGGTAATTTTTTCCCTTTTTTCCAATTTGTGCAATTAGATTTATCTCCCTTTCCCCAGAAGATGGCAGTTTCCACCTTGTGCCATGGGGACTTGTGTTTCTGCCTGGAATGTTGTCTTTGCTATGGTATAAAGATGTGTTGAGTGTTTATACCATAATGATGGCAAGTAACAACTGAGGAATTAGCTATTATGACCATGTTTATATACATCTAGTTCTCTGATTAAGGTGTTGTGGGGTCCGACAAACATGACAGAAATTTTCCCCTGACTTGGTGTTTTGGTTTGATAAAGTTACACAGGATGATAAATGGTCAAGTTTAAATGAACATTTATCTACAAATGGGGACAGATAATACACACAGGTGGAGCTGGAAATATGAATGCCTCTATACAAAAGCCAGAAGTTCACAGACAAAAGGGAGCCAAGCTTGTAGATCATAACGGAAACCCTCTCACATTGGTCCTAAGTCATGGTGTACCAAAGTTCTGGCATGCCGCAGATGTTTTTGACCAAAAATACCTGACAACCTGACATGTGTCATATTAGTTTCTTGTAACACAATTTTACATCTGCACGTACTGCCAAATAGTTAGGGAGCCATCTACCACATCTAAACAATGAATGTCATCCTAAATTTACACTCCTCTATCTCTCTCTCTCTCATTTTCCATTTGTCCATATCATCCTTCGACTTTTTCGTATGTTTGAAATATATTTCTCAAATCTTTGATTATAACTCCTAAAGTGTGAAATTCAAGAGAGGAAAGAGAACTGATAGACAGACATATAAAGAAATCGCTCAACTCATTGTCCATTGACCCTCCCCCATCCCCCACCCTCCTTTCAAAGAAAAAAAGATACATAAATACTTGTGTCAGAGATTTGTTCTTTTTCTGTTGATAATATGTATAGCCTTCTGCAATATACTTACCTAAAGAAAAACAGGTAAATGGCTGATGCAATGCTGAATAGCAACACCTGAAAATACAAACACAAACTTTATATACAAAAACATCTACTTCTAGACTTCCTTTATCATGATCATAATATTAACCATAGTCTTAATAAGCTATGAGATTGCATGCAGATTACTGCTTTGAGGTTAAGGCATAAGAAATGACAAAGTTCTAATCATTCATTAAGAGAAACAAACCCTATCATAAAACGATGCCCGACCCTACTAATTGTCTACCTAGTCAGAGTGCTATTAGTTGTAAACATGGTCTTTATGCTCTGTAAATGAGTCTCGGGTCTTACTGATATCCAAGAGGATATTTCCAAAGACATAGTTATCAGACTTTGAAGTTGAAACTCTCGGAGGAAACATTCTCCAGATTTCAAATTTCTCGATTTAATCACGACTACGTAGATACTCATCACTCATTAGGTTTTAACGATGTTTCTGTTTCTACCTGACTGTACAGTTTTATTAACGATTTTAATTATGTTCTATCTATAAACCACCAACGTAGATGGGATAACATATAAGGCCCATAAAGGGTCTAATTTGTCCCTGTATATTGAAAAATAATTTTGAATTTACTTATCGACTGAATAACATTTACTTAAGTATGATATCATAGAGATCTATGATGACAAGAACATCTATAGTAAAAAAGACATGATTAATGTGGTGTTTTTATGTGTCTGAAGAAAAAAAATGCTAGCATCCTTATTAATTAAAATGTGATAAATAAATATGCGTATAAATATATTTTTTATTTTTATTTTTTTTTAAAAATAGACCTATGCAACAATATTTACATCTGTGCATTAAAGTCTGAAATATTTTTGGGGGGTGGGTTGGGGAGGGGGATTTGTGATGTCATTTTTAAAATTCTTTGACAGTCATATGTGCTTAAAAATGTAAAAAAAAAAAAAATAAATAAATAATAAAAAAAAAATTGAAGTCATTCAGGAACTTTATTAAAGTTAATTAGCCTAGGTTTAAGAACAAGTATTGAACAAAGATAATTAAAGATTTTAAAACTTGCCTAAATGAAAGTCACCTAGAAGCAGGGAAATACATGTACCAAGTGAATGTTCTACATATCATACATTTGGTAAATTTGTCATCAAATGGCTCTAGTAAAACTTCTTTTACAGCAACTGCATGAATAAAGAATAAATATATATATATATATATATATATATATATATATATATATATATATATATATATATATATATATATATATATATATATATATATATATATATATATATATATATATATATATATATATATATATATATAACTGTTGATATGCAAGTTTGATAAAAAAAAACTTGACCCTGTAGGTCACTTCTCCAAAAAATATAGGTCATTTCCAGAAAATGTAGGTCATATGCAGCTTCTAAAGTAAGTCTAGTAGTTATATGTGCATCCCTTAATGCATCATTCCATGCAATTTTGCCCTTGTACGGATTTGCTTCGAAAACATGGGGGATGCAGATAGCAATGCCAGGAATATGGCATATATTATGTCACTCACCAAGGTGACAGCTAAAATGTACAAGAAAGTAAAAAAGTTGGAAGTCGGGATCTTTATAGTGATTTCTGAACACTAACTGGTTATAAGTGAAGCTCAATAATCCTTATCTGAATACCTGAAGAAGAAGGGAATTTAATAAAATGTACATAACAGCAACTCTCTAACACATACTACAGAAAGAACAAAAACATTTTATTTTTGTTTTTCAAAACTTAATTGAAGAATAATCACAATTTTGTGTGTTAGTGTGTATGTGTGTGTGTGTGTGTGGGGGGGGGGGATGTGGGGGTTGATACATTTTCATGTATTATTCTTTCTTTTCTTCAATTCTTTTGTTCACCATAAAAAACTCATCTAAGGAAATATGATAAGTGCAATGTTTTTCTCAATCATCAAAAAAAAACAAAACATTTATATATAGTCTAATTCTTTGGTGTTTTCAATTTTAATTAATAGGAAACTAAAGTCTTTTAATCTAAATTGATATTGTTGAATGTCTAAGTATCAGGGAATGAATTAGATACTATTCAGCCATAATGTTGTACCCCTGATTAAGACTACAACTAGACATAAAAATGGCTTTATTAAGAACCATTATACTTTCCAAGAATTAGAACATATGTACTTTTCTTTTAATCTTATATGATACATTAAGAACCTGTTTTTCTGACAATTAAAACCTGCCTTATTTTTGTCAGAGTTAACGAGAATTTTACAAGCAGTATCTGTCACAGGAGAAAAGTTACCATTTAGACTTACATGACAAACAGATAACATGTGCCGCATTAGGAGAGTTTTATTCCAGTATCCCATTAATGAAAATATTTCTGTCATAGCTGAAAAATTAGCTAACATCCCAAACCATTAATCAAAATCTTCCACAGAAACGTTAAAAAAGAAAGAAAAAAATACACTCTGTTACTAATGCTACATTTTCCTGATATGAATTCTAAAATATATTTAATATATGTGATCTACGTTTTCTTTTAATACAGTCTAACCTGGTTAATCCAGACAATTTTGTTCCTGAACAAATTGTCCAACTTCATGAAGCATCCAGAATACTGAAACATACTTTTATTAATTAAATATCTAAATATAAATTGTTCCCCATAACCATTGTACAGAAGGTGAAGAGTCCGGATTATCTAGGCTCCACTGTATTTTAATCATTTCAAGAGAAGTGTGGTCAAATATTTTTTTTTTTAAAATGATAGGAATTTTTTTCTTTTGAAAAGAAAACTTTCATAAATATCACTGATCCTACTGAGTCAGTAAACCTCTTTTTTCTTCAAGGGTGGGGTGGCCAGGGGATGGGGGTGGGGTGGGGTGAGTGGGAAGAGTGGGATTAAGAACAGTAGTTCATGTGAATTTGTTGGTTAATTTAATTTAGCATAAAAAAAAATTAAAAAACAAAAACATAAATACAGAAAAGAGAAAGAAAACAAACAAAATACAAACAATAACCAATAAATAAACGGTTTCTTACACATTTAGCCAAATTCATATGGTGTATGTAGAAATTTGCTGACAGAATTCCGGGAAATCCTACCATGAAATATGATAATTTAATTGATACAGCATTACAATTAAGAATTCATATTCTCTGACTTTAACATTCCCTCATTCATAGGACAAATGACGATCCATCATAATTATTGCCGAGGTACAATATCTAGCAACCTAAAAATCAATTTCTGATATAATTGACCACATTAGGATCTCCTATCCATCATAACCTTGTGTTCTAATGCATACAGGCATACAGAACCATCAATTTCAAGTATTCAATTCCAGATGTAACATAATATCATAACTGAGAGAGTGACAAGTGTTCCATATTTAATTCAAGGATGCTACATCATGGACTTAAATTACAACTGCACTCGTTAACATTCAAATAATGCACAGCATGCGTATGTTTTATAACCATTACTTAGAATCCTCTAGTCCTCTATTACATGTGATCAGTACATGTACATGTATTGCCAAGAGAAAAAAATGACATTTTTAAGAATACAAACACCAGCAAATTACCCTAAATTATCTTCTTAGTGTCTAATTCCAATGAAAAAAATAATTTTGAACAGCACCAAATGAACCATTTCCACCTCATCACTGTTATTAAAGCAAACAACTGTCTCCTAGTTAGCAAAACTGTCGTCCTCTTTACATTATCACAAGGGTAATATTTAGGTATACAGGATTATAGCCATATTAACCATGAATTTTCATTCAAAAATTTTCTAACTTTTGTGTCTAAATGCAGTTGCCTGCACAAAAAAGGTAGCTATATGGCTTGCTTAATGGTGAGGCAAAAGATCCCCCTCCATCCCATGTACACAATGGGTGTTGTGTCATAGAAGTAACTATTCACCCCCTTCCTCTTACCACTATACTCACCCCTTCCTCTTACCACTACTCACCCCCTTCCTCTTACCATTACTCACCCCTTCCTCTTACCATTACTCACCCCTTCCTCTTACCACTACTCACCCCTTCCTCTTACCACTACTCACCCCCTTTCTCTTACCAATATACTCACCCCTTCCTCTTACCACTACTCACCCCCTTCCTCTTACCATTATACTCACCCCTTCCTCATACCACTACTCGCCCCCTTCCTCTTACCACTATACTCACCCCTTCCTCTTACCAATTCTCACCCCCTTCCTCTTACCACTACTCACCCCCTTCCTCTTACCACTATACTTACCCCTTCCTCTTACCACTACTCACCCCCTTCCTCTTACCACTATAATCACCCCTTCCTCTTACCACTACTCACCCCCTTTCTCTTACCACTATACTCACCCCTTCCTCTTACCATTACTCACCCCCTTCCTCTTACCACTACACTCATCCCCTTCCTCTTACCACTATACTCACCTCCTCCTAATACCACTACTCACCCCTTCCTCTTACCACTACTCACCCCTTCCTCATACCACTACTCGCCCCCTTCCTCTTACCACTACTCACCCCCTTCCTCTTACCACTATACTCACCCCTTCCTCTTACCATTACTCCCCCCCTTCCTCTTACCACTACTCACCCCCTTCCTCTTACCACTATACTCACCCCTTCCTCTTACCACTACTCACCCCCTTCCTCTTACCACTATACTCACCCCTTCCTCTTACCACTACTCACCCCTTTCCTCTTACCACTACTCACCCCCTTTCTCTTACCACTATACTCACCCCCTTCCTCTTACCATTACTCACCCTTCCTCTTACCACTATACTCATCCCCTTCCTCTTACCACTATACTCACCCCCTCCTAATACCACTACTCACCCCTTCCTCTTACCACTACTCACCCCTCCCTCTTACCACTACTCACCCCCTTCCTCTTACCACTACTCACCCACTTCCTACCCCTTTTGCTAATCCACTGTACACAACATCCAGTGTAACAGAACACCCTCTCATCAAATACTGTAGATTCCTAAATATACGCGAGGAATTAATTATCGCGTA